TTTTTACTCTTTCACATTGAAAGGGTTTTCCACGTTAAAATCTCGTGCCTCATATCGCTTTATTTTTCGTGCTTGGATTATCTTGTTACTTGGTATTCTTTGGTGTGTTTGTTTGTTGCTCCTCATAGATTCATTCAAGAGGGAAAGGTGTTGATCTTGGGCACTACACATTCATTTCTGTTCTTGCTTTCCCAACAAGCGGTATCAGAGCGCCGGAGTAATCTGTTATTTGTCTTGAGTGAATGATGGAGCCAAATTATAGCAGGATGATCAGTTTGAATGGCACAAATTATCACAAATGGAAGGGTAAAATGAAGGATTTACTCTTTGTGAAAAAGCTGCATCTACAGTGTTTGCTACTTAGAAGCCAGAGTCAAAAAGTGATGAAGAGTGGGATTTCGAACATGAAATGGTTTGTGGTTTCATTCGTCAGAGGGTAGATGATAATGTTCTGAATCACATCTACAATGAATCTCATGCTAGAACTCTGTGGGACAAGCTTGAATCCTTGTATGCATCAAAAACAGGAAATAACAAGCTATATTTGCTTAGGCAAAGCTATGAATCTGAGATTCAAGGAAGGTTCTTTTATTTCTGACCACTTGAATGAATTTCAAGGGTGTTTTGATCAGTTGTCAGACATGGGCGTAAAGTTTGAGGATGAGATTTTAGGGCTTTGGTTGCTGAATACTTTGCCTGATTTTTGGGAAAATCTTCGTGTGTCTTTGATTAGTTCTGCTCCCGGTGGTACAGTAACTATGGAGTATGTCAAAGCTGTCGTTCTGAATGAAGAAGTGAGACGTAGAACTCATGAGACATCTACTTCAAAATCCGATGTCTTGGTTACTGAAAATAGGGGGAGAAGCAAAGACAGAGATCATGGAGAATTCAAAAGGGGCAAGAGCAGGAGCAAGTCCAGATCAAAATACAAGAATCTTGAGTGCCATTATTGTCATAAAAGGGGCATTTGATGAAAAATTGCTTCAAGCTGAAGAACAAAGACAAGAACAAGCCAGAAGGGAAAGATGGTGAAAATGATCGCCATGTTGCAACCACGACGTCAGGTGATCTGATAGTTGTTTCTGATAACGACTTGATTAATGTTGCCTCTGATGAATTAAGTTGGGTTATCGATAGTGGTGCCGCTTTCCATGTGACGTCAAGGAAAGATTTCTTCACATCTTATACTCTAGGTGATTATGGGGTATTGAAGATGGGTAATGATGGTCGTTCACATGTTGTTGGCATTGGAGTTGTGGTCCTGGAAACCAAAACTGGGATGAAGTTAGTGTTGAAGAATGTCAGACATGCACCAGATATTCGCTTGAATGTGATATCTACTAGTGTCTTGGATGATGAAGGTTATGTGAGTACCTTTGGTGATGGGAAATGCAAACTCACTAAGGGTTCTCTTATTGTGGCTCGTGGGAAGAAGTGTTCAGGTTTATACTGGACCAATGATTCAGTCTCTGTTGATTCTATCAATGCAATTGAGAGTGATAGTTGTTCAGAATTATGGCATAGAAGACTCAGTCACATCAATGAGAAGGGACTTGATTGTTTAGCCAAGAAGAATGTTCTGTCAGGAGTGTAAGGATGCAAATTTAAAAAGGTGCGGTCACTGCTTGGCCGGGAAACAGAACAGGGTGTCCTTCAAAGGTCATCCATCTTTCAGAAAATCAGAGTTGCTTGAATTGGTACATTCAAATGTTTGTGGTCCTATGAATACAAAGACGCATGGTGGTGCATGTTACTTTGTGACATTCATTGATGATTGCTCAAGGAAACTATGGGTGTATGCCTTGAGGTATAAAGACCAAGTTCTTGGGGTCTTTAAACATTTTCATGCTTCCGTTGAGAGAGAAACATGAAAGAAGTTGAAGTGTATTCGCACAGACAATGGTGGTGAATACCTTGGCCCGTTTGATGAGTATTGTAGACAACAGGGCATCAGACATCAGAACACGCCTCCCAAAACTCCACAGCTCAATGGCCTTGCAGAAAGGATGAACAGGACATTGGTGGAGAGAGTCATATGTTTACTTTCGGAAGCACATTTGCCTAAATCTTTTTGGGGTGAGGCTTTGTATACTGCTGCACATGTAATTAATTTGTCACCTGCTACTGCTTTACATGGAGATGTTCCAGATCGAGTATGGTCCGGAAAAGATGTTTCTTATGACCATTTGCGCGTTTTTGGGTGTAAAGCTTTTGTACATGTGCCAAAGGACGAGAGATCCAAATTAGATGTCAAGACGAGGCAGTGCATCTTTGTTGGCTATGGTCATGATGAATTTGGCTATAGACTTTATGATCCTGTTGAGAAGAAGCTTGTCAAAAGCCGTGATGTTATCTTTATGGAGGATCAAAATATTGAAGATATTTAGAAGATGGAGAAGTCGGAGTCTCAAAGTTATGATGATCTTGTTGATTTCAATCCAACTCCCGTGGCTCATATGCCTAATGATACCAATGGAGATCAGAATGATGATAACAATCATGTCCCACATGATTTTGCCGATGGTAATGGTGAAGAAGAATCAAATGAGGTACATAATCAACCTCATGTTGATAACAATGCACCTACAGTTTCTCTCAGGAGGTCTACAAGGGAAAAAATTCCCTCTACTCGTTATTCTACTAATGAGTATGCATTCCTTACTGACGGGGGAGAACCTGAGTGCTATGAAGAGGCTATGGAGAACGAGGATAAGGATAAATGGGTTGAGGCAATGAATGATGAAATAAAATCATTGCATGATAATCATACTTTTGAGCTAGTCAAGTTGCCCAAAGACAGAAAAGCTTTGGAGAATCGGTGGATCTTTAAGTTGAAGAATGAACATGGTGCTTCGTCTCCACGATACAAGGCTAGACTAGTGGTTAAAGGCTACAGTAAAAAAAAGGGTATTGACTATGAGGAAATATTTTCTCCAGTTGTGAGGATGTCTTCGATTCGAGTTGTTTTGGGTCTTGCAGCCAGCCTTGACTTGGAAGTTGAACAGATGGATGTTAAAACAGCATTCCTTCATGGTGATTTGGGGAAGGAAATTTATATGGAGCAACCAGAAGGTTTTGTGGTGAAGGGCAAGGAGAACTATGTTGTAAGTTGAAGAAGAGCTTGTATGGCTTGAAACAAGCTCCAAGGCAATGGTATAAGAAGTTTGAGTCTGTGATGATCTAGCAAGGATATAAGAAGACTACTTCTGATTATTGTGCTTTTGTGCAGAAGTTCTCTGATAATCACTTCATTATTTTGTTGCTTTATGTTGATGATATGCTTATTGTTGGTCATAACTCTTCGAGAACTGCAGAGTTGAAAACAGAGCTTAGTAAGTCCTTTGCTATGAAGGATTTGGGACCAGCAAAACGGATTCTTGGCATGCAGATTACACGTGACAGAGAATCAAGAAAGTTATGGTTGTCTCAGGAGAAGTACATTGAAAAGGTGCTTCAACGATTTCATATGGAAAAGGCTAAAGTGGTGAGCACACCTCTTGCTACACAATTTAAGCTTAGCTCTAGACAGTCCCCATCTAATGATGTTGAGAAGGCAGAGATGCGACGTATTCCTTATGCATCTATAGTAGGAAGTTTGATGTATGCAATGGTTTGCACAAGGCCAGATCTAGCACATGCAGTTGGTACAGTTAGCCACTTCCTTTCTAATCCAGGAAAGGAGCATTGCAATGCAGTGAAGTGGATTATGAGATATCTCCGAGGCACATCCAGTTTGAAACTTTGTTTTGGAACTGGAAAACCTGTTTTGAATGTTTATACAGATTCTGATATGGCTGCAGATATTGATACAAGGAAGTATACATCTGGTTATTTGGTTACCTTTGCAGGGGGAGCTGTTTCATGGCAATCTAAACTTCAGAAATGTGTTGCGTTGTCCACAACATAGGCCGAGTTCATTGCAGCTATAGAAGCTTGTAAAGAGCTGCTTTGGATGAAGAAATATCTTCGTGAACTTGATGTTATTTAGAAGAGGTATGTCTTATATTGTGAAGTGTTATACATCTTAGCAAAAATCCTACTTTCCATGGCAAATCTAAACATATTGGTGTACGTTATCATTGGCTTCGAGATGTACTTGATCTCAAGTTATTGGAGTTTGAAAAGATTCACACAAATGATAATGGCTTTGATATGATGACTAAGGCTTTGCCAAAGGGGAAGTTTGAAACTTGTTGTTTGATTTTCGGTTTGGCAACCACCTCCACATAGTCGGGAGGGGGGAGATTTGTTGGGTTTGAGCTCCCAACTATGTGTTTTAAAAGCCCATTTGGAGTGTAATACTCAAGCCCAAATTTTAGTCAACTTTTGATGGAAAATTAAGGGTCTAATTGTTGAGGGGTACAGCTCGTTGGACATACCATTTTACGCACAAAAAAAGGGAAAAATCAGCGGCAAGAGAGAGAGAGAGGAATCCGCTGCCTTTTTTCTTCAAAACGCAGGTCTGGTTTTTGGTCGATTAGAGGACCAAATCTTGTCCGATCGAGCTGAAATTTTAGGAGGAGTCTAAGGACTTGTGGAGCTTCAATCTGAACGGTGGAGAGCGAATTTCAACGGTTCAATCTCAAGTTATGAGCTTCGCACCAGCTNTGATTTCTTGCACTTTTGTTCCTCTATTTTGATTCTAGTGCCTTCGAAGTGTTGTTAAGGGCTAGATATCATTGTGGTGCTGTTATATTGTGCATTTGTACTCTCAATTTGGTGGTAGTGGAGTTGGTTGGACCGAAGGGTCTCGTGGTTTTTTACTCTTTCACATTGAAAGGGTTTTCCACGTTAAAATCTCGTGCCTCATATCGCTTTATTTTTCGTGCTTGGATTATCTTGTTACTTGGTATTCTTTGGTGTGTTTGTTTGTTGCTCCTCATAGATTCATTCAAGAGGGAAAGGTGTTGATCTTGGGCACTACACATTCATTTCTGTTCTTGCTTTCCCAACAAAAAGTTCAACAAAACAAGTGGTGACAAGAATATTTTATTTTATCATATAGGCCATGAAAAAACACAAATAAATATAATTTTCGTGAAGTTGGAATAATATTCTAGGAAGAAAGTTTTAGGACGGAGGGAGTATATTGTTGATAAAAATATTTTATATGAATATAATTTCTTGAAACACACACAATTTATATAAAAATTAAATGTAGGGTTGAAATCAATTCAAATCAAGCTACAAATTTGAAAAACAAGTTTAAAAAAATAGACAAAAACAAAATAGAAAAAATAAATTCCGTGTTTTCCGGTTTTTACCCGGTCCGGACCGGAAAAAACCGGTCCGGGCCGGTCCGGACCGGAATCTAACGGGTCCGGTTTCCGGTCCTATGCTTTAGGGGATTCCGGGTTTCCGGTTTTTCTGGTTCCGGTCCGGTCCGGTCCGATTCTGGACCGGTGTACACCCCTACTGGCCATTTTTCCTTGATTGTTGGAAGTAACTTACCCTTCATAATCTTTTTCATTATAACATACGTCAAAAGTCAAATCTATAAACTTTTTTTTAACTATGAGCCACAAATTAAGGTAGGCCGGGTAAGAACGGTCTGGATTCTTTGGTGTTTCGATCCTTTTCCATTTTTTAGAATATTCGAATATGGATATTTTTTATACCTATTTTGGGAAAGACAAAAATTGTGATATTTTTGTGTATTATATCATTATATAAATAAATAAATACGTAGATATATACATATAAATAAGTAGATATATACATATATACGGGACAAAAAAAAATACATATATACGGGACAACGAGACGGAACAGAAAAAAATTTATGTGTCCCGGTCATGTCTTATTTTAAAATGGTTTGAGACATGTTCAAGACATAATTTTGTCATCTCGAACAAAATAAAATATAATAGAGGCGATATCGAGATATTTCAGGTCGGGACAATAGTCCACAAGTCTCATGTTTTCGGGAAGGATACTAGTCAATTCTATTATAAATACTCTCTCAGTCTAAAAATTATCATTCTCGTTCATTATTCACAGAGTCAAATTTTATTTAATTTGTTGGTCTGCTTTCGTTATTAATTTGATAAAATACAATAGTCATGCCCTCTTTAGTTTTATATATCTTTTTGATATAATTTTTTAATATAATTTTTTTTAATTTCACATAATTTTTCATATAAAATGATTTAAAAAATAATACCCCCTTCGTCCGAAAATGTTCTTCACATTTGATTTTTCTTGGTCAAAGTTTATAAACTTTGACTATGATTTGTGGAAAAAACATATTCTATTATGATGTAAATTTAATATCAATATATTCATAATGAAACGTAGTTTTCAAATATCAAATTTTTATAAAATATATTTATGTATAAATATAGATATTAATAGTAAAAGTGCAATATTTAAGATCGTAAAAAATAAAATGGGAAAAACATTTTCGGACGGAGGGATATATTTTTTTTTGAAGAAAGGAGTAATTACTGCCACCATATTCCCACTCTTAAAATCGAGAGGATTAAGAATTGGTACCAAATGAAGACGCATACAATGAGCTGATTGAGCTCTCCAACATTTGCATTCCATTCCAATTCCAATGGGTGATATTCTCGCTCATCGTCTTCAGGCCATTCTGCTGACATTAGTCGGCGCGGTGCTGGCCTTACCAAACGATCGTCGCTACAATGTAGGAGATGAAGTCCCTTTCTATGTCAACAAAGTGGGTCCCCTCAACAATCCCAGGTACCCTTGTTTGGTTCTTTTTTTCCTCCATAAATTTAGCACTGCTTCTATTATCCGGCTCTGGTCATGAAATATCTTCTGGTATTGGGTTAACCCGTGAGCTGGGCTTTTGAATCTGAGGTAAAGTTGGGTAATGGCACAAGATATATCAGAATGAAACCCCTACTGTTTTTTTTTTTTTTGCATAATGGATTGGTAATGTAACTGGTATATTTTCTGAGTTAATTGCTGCACTGTAAGGTAGGAGTTCAATTTGGGAATTGCAAAAAGTGCAGAGTTGGATGAGCCAATTCCATGTTTTATGAGAGTTGAGAGGTTTGAACAATTGAAATTATTGCAGTTTGAGTGATGAAATGAATAAAAATGCAGAGTTGGATGAGCCAATTCCATGTTTTATGAGAGTTGAGAGGTTTGAACAATTGAAATTATTGCAGTTTGAGTGATGAAATGAATAAAAATGGCTCCGACTAGAAGCAGTTTATGGGATGTGCCACTAATTAGACCTGAAGTGTGTCTACCTGAAGAGGTAGAATTTAGCAAATCTTTGAAAAAACTAATGCAATAAAGAATCCCTTTGTGAGTAACTGAGTTAATAGAATGTTTGAGCAAGTTGGAGGAATTGTGCAAGGAAGATCTCACCCCTGCTGAGTAGCATGTTTTTGGGTATTTTTCTTTAAATGTAAAAGAAAAAAGCTTAAGGCTTATCCCAGCATAATCCCCATAGAAGCTTTTAGAAAGAGCAACAGTCATTTTATGCTTCAGTCACCAGTGGAGTATAAGAATAGATATATTTAAAATCCTTCATTCCATCAGCGTTTTCAAGGCCCTGTTTTCTGGCTAGGTTTTTAGGGTGTTTATAAATGGACTTTCATCATTTTGTCGGTGCTAGTTGTGTGACCTTTATGTTCTTTTGGAGTTGTACTGATCTGTTTTCTTTGTCCTTTGAGCCATGGGTCTTCCGTAAACAGTCTCTCTATCTATTATAGGTAGTGGAAAGGCATGTGTTGATTTAGGATGACATAAGCAGATAGAGAAGGTTTTTGTTTCCTCATTAGGAGTCATCACATTGTTGAGGTTTAAAGAGTTTCATTGATGAGCTTTGAAATGGGTGGCTTTCTTTCTAGCGTATGGGCATTAACTTGTTGAGTGTTTAAAACATTTGGAACTCTCACATTTGATTACAAACTCTTACTCTTTGTTATCTGTTATTCTCTTGCAGTGAAACTTATGAATACTATGACTTGCCTTTCTGCTCTCCAGGTTAGCATTTATGTCTGTTACCTACCCCGGCTACCCCGTTTTCTAGACTATGTAGGTCTTTGGATGAGGCAAAGTGTTTATGTTTCCTCTTATTTGTTTTACTATTACATCTCAAACACATAAAATAGCTGATGTAACAATGCACATTATGAAGCGTGCACTTGACATTCTGTTCTGGCCTTTCATGCTTTGAACCTCTTGTTTTTAACTGACAGGCCAAGTGATACACAAGAAGGAATCCATTAGGGAGGTTCTCAATGGAGACCGTTTAACCAACACCTTGTATGAGTTGAAGTTTGCAGTGAATAAATCCCATGTTTTTCTGTGCCGTAAGAACCTCAGCAGTGATGAGGTAGCTAAATTCAGGAGTGTTGTCGCTAACGATTTCTACTTTCAAAATTACTATGATGACCTCCCATTTTGGGGATTCATTGGGAAAGTAGAGGACCGAAATTGGACTTTTGATGGAAAAGGACCCAACAAGTATCTCCTCTTCAGTCATGTTCGATTTGATGTTCTATATAATGACAATCAAGTCCTTGAAGCACATGCCTTTAGTGATCCGAATCATACTGTTGATATAACAGATGATATTGAGGTTGATGTTGAGTTCAGTTATTCAGTGTTCTGGAAGGAGGCCCCAACTAAGCTTAAGAGCAGAATGGTTAGATATTCAAAGGCTTCCCTACTTCCCCTGCTGCAGAAAGTTCATTGGTTCTCATTCATAAATTCAGTTGTTATCACCTTTCT